TCCACTTTGATATGTTCGCAGAGATTACACCACTTTTTATATACTATTAATGCATAATTGATTTGTAATTAAAGAAAGTATTGTTTATCAAAATGTTTTATCTATTATTTTATTGAATAATTGTTTTTGTAAATTCAATATCAATTTAATCCCAATAAATATTTAATTTTATTTACAATTTCAATATATTTATGACAACTATTTTTTTAAACATATATTTGTCGAAGAGATTTACAATTATGAATACTGTTATAAATGATTACCTAATTGTAAGACTGCCTATAATATGACTCAATATGAATTAGTTAATTGCAGTGATGGGTGTAACCTAGACTAGTCTAGATTCTAGATAATCGCTTATTGCAACACATTTTGAAATATAAATTACTCATCGCTTAGGTTTAAACATGTCGTAACACATGAGTGATAACTTGTGAGAAAGTTTCTAAATAATGAATGACTAGAAATGAATTAAATTTAACAATTTTAATATTGAAATACATTTGACAAATAAATAGATTATTTTTAAATATGCATTCATTGTACAATTAAATGCAATTTATATCAAATTCTTTAATGCTATTTGTTAATAATTGTTAGTGAATCGGTAGTTGACTCTTAACAACTGGACACATATTTCTTAACACATGAGTTGTTGGAGTGAAACACAGAATATTCTGTATCCAAGACAATAAGTTAGTTGTGATTTAAGTGAAAAACAAACAATGTATATATTTTAATGTATAAATGATTACTAAATCGATTTTGTGAAGCAAAACAAATCACAGATACAGGAGTAGACAAAACAAATTCAACGTTAATTTAAATTCAATTCAAATTAAACAAAAAGTATAAAACCTGTAATAATTAGGGATAGTTTTGGTGTGACTTAACGGAGACATGACTGCCATCTATTGGTTACAACGCGTGCATAGAGTTAGGCATAGATTAAGTCATACAATGAGTGTACGTATGAATCACTTCTCAAGTTGTGTTAGTATTGAGTAATCGCTGAATGAGTTGGCAAATGGTTTCTCTCTCTTCATGTAAACAACAATCCATTCATTCATTCAATAATTCATTCAACAAATCAATGTTTAGACCATTTTTGTGGTCATTATTATTGTTGTGATTATTACTGTCATTGAAAGCATACATTCAATACATACTGTGTGTAAGAGTTGAACATAAAGTGAGTGTTTGTTTCAGTGATTTAGTGATGGCCTCAATGTTTGCACTCAATTGTGACCGCAATTAACGCCAATCCTCTCATATAAACACATCATTTCTCGCAACCATTTCAACGCATATAACGACTAAACAACTAATCCAGTCATCCATTCCTCTCATCCATACCAAGTATATCAACATCTGATCCCCTCTTATGGTCCATATAATGACCGAAAGGTGAGTTATCATCAAATGTCATCACTTGTCCACTCTGTGTGTTGTGTCCACTCATTTGGTGCCTCAATAGTGGTTATTATGTGTGAATTGTTTGCCATTTAATGTAATGTATTGTCAAAAGAGTAGACATTTAAAGGTCTGATAGATTGAGAGTTCATTAGTAGTAAGCGATTGGCCCTAACATTGAGGCCATAATAATAATGCAGTAATCGATGTCTTAATGGCTTAATGTTGTCATGAGTTCTCATTACGATTGCCTCATATCTGATGAATGAGAAGATGTGACACATTTAGGAGACGTGTTTTGATGAAGACGTGAAAAAGCAAATATCTATTGAGGCTTTCGAGTCGTCCTTTGGCTTACAATTTGTCCAAACATTTGGTTTAGGAGCGAATGCTTTGCCAAACCTTGACATCAAATACTGCCTCAAAATATAAAGTTATACAAAGAGTTTGATTGAAAAGTCAAATCTCATTATTTGCAATACATATGTAAAGTCATTGCTTTGCGAACCGATCGGTGAATAAATTTGAGAATTTAATTAAAAATAGCATTTATTGACCCAACACTGCCATTGAGAGAGCAGTTGCCAACCGGTGCTCATTATTATCATTAATAGCTTATATTTTCTCATTTCAATAGCGTTTTTGTCTATTATTTAATTCACTGATTGTTATATTTTGTTACAAAACACTTGATATGAATTTGTATGGAAAGCGAAACAATTGCCGGAATTGAGTGGCAATGCATAGGGAATGCAAAGGGAATACATTGGGAACGGCGTTGTCCTCCACTGCCAGTCATTGCTCTAAATTCAATCAATTAAATGCTTTGCCATTAATTGATTCATTTATTTTGATTACCAGATAATCCACATAAAAGTTTTTGATACACATTTATGAGACCTTTTTTGGATATTCACTGCAAACACAACACTCCTATTGAGTGAATGAATGCAAAATGAATTAGTTTGCAATCAACTGATAAACTACTATATTTTCACTGCATTTCCTTTTAATTCCTGTTAATTCTTGACTCCAATGCCTTTTCTGAATGCATTTTTAGTCATAATTACAATTATGTAAAAACACTGCGATATAGAGTTGTTATACATTTAGTAAAATATGTTTGTTTTTACGTAAAATATAAGTTATTTAAAGCTATGGTTTGTGTCATATGTTTGTGATTTGAGTCATAAATTTAGCAAATTGTTAGTTATTTAGTGTTTAGATTATATTTTATTGCAAACCCTGTTGTTATACAGTGTATAATATATAATATACATAACATTTCAGTAGATTGTGTTGTTATTTAAAAGTGTTATTATAGTAACGCCTTTATAATCAACTAAAATGATAGCCATAACTAAGTTATTAACTATTTTTTATCCGTAATTACGAATAATTGATAAGTTATTTGTGTTTTTAATGAAAGAATTGCTTCATTTTATGGGTAAAAATGAAATTAGTGTTACTTTTGCTCTTTATTTAGTCATATTTTATTTTTGTGTTAAATGTAAATGCATTTTGATATAAGAAATATACAAATCAGCACTTATTATATTATTTTTCATTTATTTTTTGATGATTTAATTATTTTATTTTGTTTTGTTTTTTATTTCTTTGGCAGTAAAATATCATTTGTTTTAAATAAGTGGTTATAAATAACTTAACTAAAAGCGAGCCAAACAATGGCACCACTACCTCCGCCGCCACCGCCGGCACCACCGCCGCCGCCAATGGGTGGACCCCCAGCGGGCGGACCCCCGACTAAACTTAATAAAAGTGAAGCCCAGGGCAGAGGCGCCCTATTGTCGGAGATTCGCGGCGGCGCTAGACTTAAAAAGGTTCGGGCGGTTAACGATAGGAGTGCACCCATTATTGACGGTATGCTGTCATCACTTATTAGGAACTGACCATTGGTTTTGGCCCACATTTCTATTAACATACATTTGGCTAATCTATACTGTTTTTAACTCACATTTAATTGTTAAACAATTTGATATTTAATATGATTTCAATTGATTGGTTTAATTGATTGTAATTTGAATTTATAGGCAAATCGTCCACTTCTAACAGCAGTAGCAGTGGTAGTGTGTCATCAAAGCCAGTGTCTAACGGTCCGGGAGGCGGACCCATGCAATTGGGAGGACTGTTTGCAGGCGGTGTCCCAAAGTTAAGGCAAACCGGAAGCAAATTAGTGGCCAACGGACTCACTGTTAGTGCGAATAAAGTGAACAATAGTTTTACAAAAACCGATGAATCGGTTCGACCGACGAATACGTCTCCAATAAAAGCTAGTCTCGGATCCAAACTTCATAACTATTCAAATAATACAAATAATTCAACTAATAATACAAACAACAATTCAAACAATTCTTCATTTCTACACGCAATCAATGGACTAAATTCTAACACTAATACCAATAATAATAACAAATTCCATACAATGAAAGCACGAGAAAAACCAAATTATGTGGTGAATGACAATAAAGGACAGGCGCCTCAAGTGCCGCCTTTCGGTGCTAATCGCGTAAATGCCCCGCAATTGCCCAAAAAGCCGCCCGCGATTCAGAGGTCAAACTCTCAATCGAGTGGCAGAAGACCGGGTCCGCCAAATAGTAAACCCCCGCCGCCTCCCAAAGCGGTGAACGGTGTGAGTGCTAGCCATCAAACACTTCAATCCAAACCATCAAATGTTAGTCAAAGACGAAGTTTTGTAGACGAAAACTCGAGCGGAAAGCCAGACATTTCTGCGTTAGTTTCGAGCTTTAATCAACACAATCAACAGCAGCCGCTCAAACCCCCGGCGCCGCCCAGAAATGGCAACGGAATATCTCAAAGTCCAACATATCCTCCGCCACCGCCGCCGATATCGACAATACCCACGCGTCCAACGCTTCCCAATACAGTTCAACGATTGCCATCAATGAAAGCAAATGCGCCCAATATTCCAATACAAGCGCCCAAAATGGCTCAAAGTATAAGAGCACCCTTAGGACCGCCACCGCCTCCTCCGCACAGAAGTACGTCTAATAACACACCCAATGCTAGCTATCCTTCACAACCCCCGCCTCCACCTTCGCTAACCAAAGTGAACCCAACAATCCACAGAAATGGTACCTTTGCCTCATCCGGTCCGCCCCCTCCTATCAGAAATACCTCTAAGACTGCATCCAATCATATTAGTAATGATTACAATAGAGGTATTCCTTTGCATATTATATTTGCCAAAACATATGGCAATCATTTGATTCATTTTTAATCTAATTTTTTAAATTGCAGAACAATTTTCTGCCAGATTTGCCACATTTAAAGCAATCTTTGAACTCCCGGCGCCCTCTCCTATGACCACAACTAATAAAGTATATCCGAGTCATAGTAAGTATCGCTAATATTTGGCCACATTTGCAAAAAACATAACACGAGTGCTTATAATTGCTATGATTTTTAATTATATGTTATTTTTCTTGTTATTTGTTTTTTTATTTCTTTTTTTATATTTGAATAAAACTTGACTTTTTTCGCATATATTTTTTAATTCATTCATTTCTATCCTTGGATTCAAATTTACGGCACTTATGTTGACATTGATTGCAGAATTTTTTTGTAAAGGAGTGACCCATTGAGCCAAATATACTGTACACTCTATTCCTGTATTTTCTTTATAGAAAAAAGTTAAATGTTAGACATTTTATGTTACTTTGATTTACAATATCTTTGTTTCCAAATCAACCACTCATTGCATTAGACATATCTATCCATAATATGTTGGTTACGAGTATTTATACAAATCTCTTGAATAAGTTGTCAGATATGAGCTGTTTATGACTTGTGATTACCTTTAAATCTCTTCGCCAACAGTTATTGAATCCCACGTATGTCTGGAGAGCTCCGGTTATTCATAGAATGCACACACTTTTGGCTCATTATTATTAGTGAATCTAAAATAAGTGTTTGTTTAAGCGCTTAACTATTCGCCACAAATAGCGTTAGCATTGAATTCAAGATTTATTTAAAGTTAAAACATATTTTCATCTTTTTTTCTGTTCGCTTTATTCTGTCGACAATGTATTGCAGTATTTAAGAGTAATAGTTATACTGATTATACTTAATATTATTTAATTCTCAAAGTCATACCTTTATTATTAACCACTAATTCATATTTTAGTGCGAATTATAATTATTATTAACGATAACTGTTTTGTTTATATTTGGTTTTCCT